AATGAATATTATATTATTCTATACTCGCATTATTTTATACTACATAAAATATTTTCGCAATATTTTTTTGTTCACAGTATACAGATTGTTGTATTATGTTGTATTAATATAACATGTAAAATAGCTGATTGTTAATTATACAAGTATCACTTTGTTTTTCAGTAAAATATTGTAAATTGGGGTACATTGTAATCTTTGAAATAAGGTAAAGAAGTTACATGCGTTCGTTATGAATAATCTTGTAAACTGTAAATTCATAACTGTGATGTACCATAGAAACGTAAATTTTTGAGCATACAAAGCATCCCAGGAATGTAATTACACGCCTTTACAATACGACTCTGTGGACGAAAATTCTAATTTGCACCTGCAACTGTATCTCTTAGCTTTATATCTACACTAACAACATTGTAGGACATACAAACAGTTCACATAACCTTAATTATATATAAAACAAAACGCAACCTATTTGCATCCATAAAGATAATTCTGATAACAATGAATTCATCTTTTATTTGCACGAAATAAGACAATTCGTACTTTCTGTAACAATATTTAATATTTTGAAAAGTTCCTAAAATCGAGAAAATTTATTTATATCTTATAATATATATTTTAAATATAACAAATTTTGTACTTTCTAGATTAATAATGTTATTTTCTAAAATAAAATTTTTTTTAAGATTATTCGATGTTCTTGAGGAAGTTCTCGCGAAGTTTTTGAAATGAAGGACAATTTTGTATTTTATAAATCAAACATACTTTATTCTTCAGATTAATAACATTTCCTTTGTTATTTCTAAAATCAACAACTCTTTACCTCCGAAATTAAAAATTTTCTATTCGAAATTTAACAAGAAACATTCTTCCATTTTAAGATTTAGACGGAACATCTTTTTCCTTTTAAAAGTAGCTAAAGTTCCTTTTTTTCTAGCTGTCGCCATTTAGGTATTTTATATACTTTAACTGTGTTCTTGTTGAAACAGAAATAAGTGAGGAAGTACCCAGATATCCAGAAAGCTTTTGAAATTCCAGTAGCATTTCTTAGATGTGTTCTGAGTCAGTAATAAAACTTAATGCTTCCATAATCTTTAATACCGAAAAGGAACCGTCGTTACAGATTATTTTTCCTATATGAAAAGGAAGATAAATAAAATAGAGTACCCCACAGGCTTTCTTTCCATTTGCGAAATTTTAATCTAGAAACTAAAAAAAGAAAGAAATGTATAAAATTTCAGAATAAACACTTTATTGCGAATTTATAAACAAAATATTATAGGCATGGAATAGCTAACAACGCATTTCCCATTATAACTGTGAGTAGAGGGGACAATAATATACGAGACCTTTTTAACTAGTAACTCACAAAATATATTTCAGTCATACTATTTAAATAATAAACTATTTGAAATAATAAAATCG